TATATATATATATTAATGTATTTTTATCAGTGTGTTTTTTTCTAACATTGTTTTGGACCCCATTGACTTTCATCATATGAACAAAACAGTTCAAACATTCAAAATATCTTTTATGTTCTGCAGAAAAAGGTTAACTGTCCTTTTAAGCTGGGTTTTGGGTTAATACCATTGTAGTATTTCCTTTTTGGCAACATTTAATAAACTAATGGCATTGACCTGTTTTCCAATGGCCAAATTCTAACAATTATCTCAAACTTCATGTTCTTTTTAACAAGATTAACAATAGATTGATTAATTCTAATAGCAATTCAGACTTTATAAATGGAACAAGAGACCAACCATACACAGAAATGTGTGCTAACTAAAATATGTTCACAAAAATATCCATCATAGAAAACAAACATACCCACAGACAGTTATGCTTAACACACAACACTGTACTGGGATATATAGGAACAATACAACTTCTAAATACAAACAAAAAGGTGTGTATACGGTAAAGGCGTCTCTTAAAAAGATTTCATATGGCATTTCTTTCCTCTTGCACATTCAGAAAATCTGATTTGCAAGTAAATTCTGGCAAAACTCTCCAAGGAATTGAGCTGGGAGCCCAAAGGCAAATAGTGCAGTGTGGTCTTTCACATTCTGTTTAATATTCATCAGAATAAAGGAGAAATGTAGACAGATAAGGAGAAAAGAGACCAAATACAGCAAGTCAATCCTCGAGAGGAAATATCACCTCCAGGACTCGTGCCCTTCACGAGACTATCAGCCGCAGACAGACTCTATTACAAACAGCACAGATGCTTTGAATAGAAACAGAGATGCAGATACTATCCGAAAGGCAAGCAGCAAAACAGATGTGCATTATTGATTGTACTATGAATCTTAGAAGATAAATCAACTGTCTGCACTGTCTGTACTTATACGTTTTTCTAAATAAACATGAAGAAATGCATTTCTAATTTTTCTGAAATTAAATCTGAATAGGTTAAATATAATACTGCATTGCAAATAACTAACAGATGCTGCACAGTTCTATGCAATTCCAAATTAATTGATACAATGAAAGCAAGTTATGTCAAACTGACCCCAATTTTTGGGCTGGCTTTGAACGACAAGCTATATCATGATTTCCACGATAGAGTTAATTAAAGACAAGCCCACAAGGCAGACTAGCCTGATCTAGGGGGAGCTGCCATGAAAAATGCAATTACTGACACAATTTCATGACAATCATTTACTGCAAATGACTCACTGCTGTCAGTGAATAACTATAAAAGTCTGAGATAAGCATTCATACATATTGTGAAGCTGAACAAAGACCCATTAGTCATAGTCGTTGGTCTTCCAGTGTGCTCTACTTCAGGAGAATTTAGGGGTCATTAGGGAACACAAGGACAGTCATAAAACAATTAAGACACATTCTTTGAAATAAGACTTTGAAAAAAAAAAATTCGGTCCAAGTAACATTAATTAATATTTGTATGTGTCATTTTCTGAAAATAAATTAGATTTTTTTTTTCAACACTGACGACACCTAAACAAGGGTCAAAAGGTCAGGCTACTCTGCTTCAATGTGCCATTTTTATCATACAAATTCATATATAAGAAACGCACATACCATTTAAACGTATTATTTTAAAATTATGAATATTTTTATTCCGACCTTTTTCTAGTTGAAATAAATGCTTTTCAGGTGTTTTCAATTAATCAAAAAATCCTTTAAAAATTTATATAAGAATACAATTTTTTTATAATAAATGTTTCTTGAGCATATTAGAATGATTTCTTAAGGATCGTGTCACACTAAAGACCGGAGTAATGGCTGCTGAAAAACCAGCTTTGCCATCACAGGTATAAATTACATTTTAAAATAAATTAAAATAGAAAACAGTTATTTTAAATTGTAACAATGTTTCAAAATATTACTGTTTTTACTGTCTTTTTAATAAATAAATGCAGCCTTGGTGAGTATAAGAGACTTACCAAACATTACAATTTTCCGGGCCTTAAACTTTTGCATGGTAGTGTGGTTTAATACAAACACTCATCAATTATGACATATTATGAGGAACTTTCAGATTTATCAAATCAACATGCTACCATAGCCCTCTATGTCATCATTAACACTGACTATCAATGGATAAATAAATGCACCCACAGTTCCTGGATCACTGCAGCAGTCAGAAAGTATCTCATTCCATCTCTTTTGGTCTCATTTTTCCGCTGTCTCTCTCCTTTCATCCCTATCTCTTCATCATTTCACCTCTCTAAAAGAGTCCATTTGTCCCAGATATGTTATCGATCGAATACAGTAACAAAACAGCAAAGGGTGTCCATTTTGGATGGTTACTGTATGCTCCATTTGACTCATCGTACTTATAATTTAGGATGTAAGGAAACTCAGACAATTAAAAAAAAACATGCTGATGGCTTAGGGTGAATATGATGTTTAAAAACAATTTAAAGTGTATTATAACAATACAAACGCTTCATACAAGCTTCAAACGTTATTTGCATCTGACTAAACAAGCCAACATCTGCTTAGTGGAGTTTTATACATACCAATAAACAGACAATAAAATTTAGCTTATATATGCCATATTGAGTAAATATCTTACTGACATTCAGACAGAGATGCACAGAGAGAAGACAAAAATTCCCAGCAGGGATGGACAATATGGGCCAACGGCCCAGAAAGCTTCCTGACACACCAAAGATGCTTCATAAACCTGTGACACCAGAATCAATCCCCATTTGAGCATGAACGAAAACTTAATTTAATGTAACAATATGTGACCCCGGACCACAAAACCAGTCTTAAGTAGCACGGGTATATTTGTAGCAATAGCCAGCATGACTGGTTTTGTGGTCCAGGATCACATATTTTAAAATATACTTACAAAACAGTACCATGGAAATACCATGGTACTGTTAATGAAAGACAGGTTAAAATACATATAAAATATTATACTTGTATGTGTGTATAAATAGAACATTAAATACATCTTCCCCATTTCCATAAATATTGTACACTTACACACATACATGCATAAACGCATACACACATATACACTGTATAGCAGATCACCCGAGCTGTGTTTACCTCCTGCAGCTGCTCTAACTCCTGTTTGAGAGCCTCCTGCTCGGTCTCGAGCTCGGCGTACTGCTGCTTGAGCGTCTGGTTCTCCTCCAGCACCACCAGACCGCATTCCGCAGCCCGGATCTTCTCCCGGTTCGCCTCTGCGAGCTCTCGGGTCAGCCTCTCCACCTCGGCCCGGTAATGATCCACCGATTCCCCGCATCCTCCATCGGCTGCCATAGCCTCCGGTCTCCGGTCGGATGTAATAACCTCTCAGAGAGGCGGAGGCTGAGGAGGAGATTCAGGTGGATGCTGCAGTCCGCCCGTCCACCCGATGCGCTGATGTTTGCTGATGCCTAAATGATGTTTACACGAGCGGCATATGAACTAGACTCGATTTTTTCATTGTAAATAGTGCTGTGATAAACTGCACTAATGTTCCATCCATCAAAGACATATTTTTTCGTGTCCAACTTATAATGTTTTGAGGAAAAGCGGCGCCATCTATCCGAAATGCAAAGTGAGCAAAAGTTGATCCTGGCTCTCAATTTGTGACGTCACTCCATACCCCCACCCCTCATCGTTTACACCGTCTTATTACTGTATATTATTAGTAGTATATGTAAAGGCAATGCTAATTACAATTTGTTACATCATATGTAATACCATCGTATGTAAATTCTATTTAGGCTATACATTAAAATATTTGGACACAGGTATTATTATTATTACTATTATTATTAAACACACACACACACACACACACACACAAACGCACGCACGCACGCACACACACACACACATGTGGTCCTTTCAGAAATGTCAGAAATTCTCAGATACATGAATCTGCAACACATTATTGTTATTATTATTACATTAGGTTATTATTATTATTATTATGTTACTTTATTATTAGGGCTAACCTGAATGTTATTGTGGATGACAACTTACATTATTTAAATACTTTTTCGCCACCTGCTGGACAAATAAAAAACATTACATTCTTAAAGAGAAGTTGTGAGCAAAAATAAATAAATTATATATATATATATATATATATTTATTTGAAGAGGCTTTTTCACTGTTTATGCATTGTTTAAATATGTGGTTGGCTAGATGCTCTTTGAAAGTCAAATCTTTATAGATGATATAAAGAAAAAAAAGTAAAAAGACAGTAATCAAGAGCGACTTTGCATGAAACGTCATGCATATTCATTGTTTAAAGGTTTCAAATCGTAACCATTAAAATCTGAGCTATAATCCTGAAGAATCTGAAAGTTATGCAGTTGACAACCAACAACTAGAAGGCCACTAACACCACAGGTCCCAGTTCCAAAAGGACTATAAACTATACAAGTTTCTACAATTGAGACATGAAGCTGCTCTAAAGAACAAACAAATAGCTATAACTATTAATAGCTGTGCAATTGTAAATCACTGTGTTTCAACTGCCACTGAGATGATCAGTGATCACTGAAATATTTGACAATAATTGCTACATACTTCCTTTAGTCTCTGCCGCACTTCAGCTGAATGTAACATTAAATGTGACACATTCCTTATCCAGAATGAAGCATGTCTAAGTACATTATGGAGGGAGAGGCGAACAGGCTGAGAAAAAGACCTCATGACACACTGTACTTCTGAATGTCAGATTTCACCAGCCTGCATGTGATTTCGTTTTCTCAGACAGTGTGGCACACCTACTGGTCTCAAGCTTTCAAACACAATAATTTGATTGGCTTGGAAATCAAGCACATCGTTTATGTGTGTGCAGAGGTCAAAGATCACATGTGCATTATCTGGAAAACTTCCTTTCACAATCATTAACTACAGGATGGGACTTTCAAAACAGTGAGATTCATGGGAATGTCCATTAAGGTAAGTACATGGCATGTCTTATTTTCTAATGGTCTAATGAAAGAAATGTTCACAGGATGATTTGATCTCTAAAAGTAGCAGCCCGAATGGGCATTCGACGGGTGGATCTGATGAAAGAATGATTGGATGATTAGGTTTGTCCTGTCACTATCTCAAATAAATCTACAAAATGAGAGACATGTGATACATATTACTCGGGAAGTCCTGGTTTAGAAAGCTTTATACTGGAATGTAAAACCCTGCTCATGTTCATTATTTTCTGCAGTACATTCAGTAAGCATACTAAATAATTTATACAAGGAAGAAAATGGCTGTTTGTCACATGTTTTACTCTAGTAAATGTTTGTCATACTAGAATTATTTTTGAAGGCACATAACTTAAAGACTTGACTACAAAAAAAAGAAAAATCCTTTATATTACATTAACACGTTGTCATGCCATATGGGGTAAATTGAGAGCCATTGCAGTAATACTGCCAGTACCATATTACAGATTATTATAACATTCCATAAAAACAATAAAATTACCACATAACTGGTATAAAAAGGAGAATGCACACTGTAGGCTATATATAGTTTAGTAATTCAGCAGTTAAAATGTAAATATCACATGTATACCTTGAATGCTATGCAATTTGCTTTTAGATAATAACATCTGGCAAATAAATACATGTAAATATAAATAAGCTGCAAGCAGTGTATGAAAATTGAAAATCTTATCTGACTAGAATGATCACATGTTATTTGTACCGTGGATGTTTGGATTTTTTATTCCAATAAATTTACTGTAATTTAAATTTTGAAATATATTTTTATATTTTGTTTCCATTTTAATTTTAATTAAAGTTTCAGTTATTTTTGTGTTTGTCATATTTATGAGTTATTGTTTTTTTTTGTTTTTTTATATGTCAGTGTTTTTATTATTATTTTAGTTTTAATTTGTTCACATAGTTTGAGCTACTTTAAGGAAAATGGAAAAAAAAGTCGCAACTAGCTGAAATAAAATAGGTTTAAGCTTTATTAATATTTTTAAATTTCAGTTTATGTTTATTTTAAGTAACTAAAATGTTACTTTAACTTTTTTAAGTTTTAGTTTTAGTTAACTATATTAAACCTGCAGCCAAGTTATTATGTAAACCCAGCAATCAACAACATAAAAGGACCCTTGGTTTAAGATAAGTAATAAATTATTCTCTTTTGCTTTTTTGAATGAGAAATGAAAGAAAGAAAGAAAGAAAGACTTTGAAGATGCATTGCATGGTGATTAACATGCATGCAAATGCACTGGTGCACATGCACACATTTGTGTGTGTTAGTGTGTATTCCTAAGCCAGAATCCAGAGCAGCACGTGGCTCTGGTCAGCTGCCTGCTAGTTGTGGTGTAATTGAGTTCACATGAGCAGCTGATGGGTCCCATAGCATTTACAATCAGCAGCAGCATCCCCAAACCCTGTCCCGTGTCTCTGTTTTTACCCCTCCTTTCTCTTCTCTCTTGTCTCTTCTTTTTATGCTGTCCTTAACTAGCTCTTGCCCTCTCTCTTATTAGAGATCCCATTGAGAATTCCACACTGTCTTCTGCCTCCACACTCATGGCTCCAGAGAAAACCAGTGACGGGTTGGACAACTATGCTTTTACTGTGAGTAACCTCAATTTATAGACATACATTTTAGGTAGAATTACTCATTTCTTTGTTAAATTAGCCTTAGAGCTTCTGGAAGTAGACAGATTGAATATAGGAACATTACATTTGAATGTAGTGTGATCATGGGTGTGTAATGGGTCTTGTTTTCATTGTGTAAATCTAAGTTACGTCAGACTGCAGTCAAGTAATAAGATCTTTAAATTCACACAGATATAAAAATCTATGGCATGTGACCATTTCTATGATCGGTGTTGTAACCAAAGATTCTTATCACTCTCGATAATGCATGTGTTACTCATGTGCTTGTTATTGTGGTTATGCGCAATGTTTTAGTAACTGGAATGTGGACTGGAGCAGTGTGTGTGTGTTTTACAGCTCACGCTTATGTAATATTTAATTTACAAAAAGTATGAAAGAAATAGCTATTTTTGCATATTGATCAATCAAAAAACATGTTTAAATCTTTATTCTAAAAAACAACACTCTTGAGAGTGAGAGGGTTTATTGTTTTTTTTGTTTTGTTTTTTTCTTTATGCAAAGCCAATTAAATGGATAGGAAAACAAATTATATGTATATGTGATTTATATGTGAAATTATATTTATATATTGACATGAAATTGATAAAATTAGGAAAGTTTGTTGATTGAAAACTGCTAGGTCAGAAACTGGATTTGAGTGTTGTTGTTTTTTTACTTAAGGTTGATGGTGTAGACCATTTCTGTGAGTTACCGGAGAATAAAAATGGAAGTGATAATTTCTCAGAAGAGGGACACAGTAGCAAGTTGGCATATTGTGTCACTGATATTCCACCATGGTACCTTTGCATCTTTTTGGGGATTCAGGTAAGTGCCACACACAAATCTGCCTGTGAAAAAGATGTTGAACATGTTAGATTTGTATGATAGGATTTATCATCAGACTCCTATAAATCAATTGAAATCAGTCTTGATTAGAGTGTGCACTATGAACAGCACTGTATTCACCAGTACCAATAAAGAACAATTTCAATGTACAGTTGGAACAAAAACAGCTGGAACAAAAAACACCACATTTAAAATCTGAGATTTTAAAAATATTTTTATGGCCCATATAGTATGAAGCTGAGAATATGAAGCTTATAAACTCATGGAGAGAAAACACCTCAATTTTGTTCAAAAGCCCAAACTGAGCAAAAATATGCAATTTAATGCAGTTGTTATTATTTATATGAAAATTATAAATAATAACTGAAGCTGAAATTAGATATATAGCTGATACCTTGTAATGCAAATCAAAGAGATTTTTACATAACAGTATAGACTACTTAAATATCAAAATATCAAATGTCACTCTGTATCTCCAAATAATATGATTTAGCAGATGCTATTTAAATATTTAACTTTTCAGCAATGTTTTGATCATGCTGATAATTCAAAGGCCTTGGAAAATGAATGCATCAAATATGATAAAATAGGCTGTATAGGGTTAAGATTCTGCACTATTTTTAATTAAATTAGCAAATTTATATCATTGATCATGTGTTCAGTTGGTGGTCATCATGTGTACTTTCAGATGTTCAACTTGTAGAGTTTATGGACAAAGCAACTGATATTAAAGTTAAAGGGGAACATATAAAAACCCATTCTAAAATAATTTTTTAATTCAACTTATTGCTATACTAATAGTTTGATGTCTATGCAAAATAAAAGCATTTTCACTAGTAGTCTTTAACTTTTAGACTTCACTGTATATATGTGTTTAGTAAGTCACAGAAAGAACTTACATAACAATTTCTCTCCATCTCTCTGACAGCACTATCTTACCGCTTTTGGTGGCATCATAGCCATTCCTCTGATACTGTCTCAAGGCCTCTGTCTACAACATGACAGCCTCACGCAAAGTCACCTAATCAGCACTATTTTCTTCGTGTCTGGGGTGTGCACCTTACTGCAGGTCACTTTTGGAGTGAGGTATGGTTGCTTTTATCACTCATGGCAAAATTATATGTTTCACAGAGAAACATCAGAATTCA